AAAAACTCCCAACATGGAAGTTATCTATCATCTTAATATCGTTCCCAAAAAAAACAATTTTGATGACCTAACTTAAAGAATTGTGCAAGTTATTCCCTTTATGTTGGGACTACATTTCATTGAATTTTACCAAGTTAAATCTTACGATTCTCAAATTCTCGAATTGTGGCCATTCTTTTTTACTCCAATCAGGCCCATAAGATATTAGGCCGTGTAAAAGATAATCAAACCTTCTATTCACACCCTTTCTTACAATTGTACCCAGTTTGTACAAAAACTCTCAAATTTACAAAAATAGCCATTTCTATATTTCTCTCTCCACACTCCACTAACTTGTACCATCTTTTGGGCACATGAAACTGCATATATGAGTTGTCCAAAATGCACAAAATTCTGTCCATATCTTCATAAAATTCAAGCTTGTGCAACAAGGTGATTGTTGGCCTAAACTCCCCAAGACACCCTCCAACGACTCTAAGGTTGTAATGACCTATATACCCTCACTTTGGGGCTCTATACATGAGCACCCTTGCCTTCATTCACTCACACACATGCAACTTTGAAATCTCTCACCAAAAACCTCATTCTTGCCTTCAATCTCTCTCTCTCTCTCTCTCTCTCTCTCTCTCTCTCTCTCTCTCTCTCTCTCTTTAAACAAACCTTTTTCTAAAATTTCTTCAAAATAAAAGCTCTTTATTTTAGCTCTTGGAGGAGGATCAAGCAACAATCTCCGAGTTTCTTCTTCATTTGGTAGCACAAGAGGGCAGTAGACTCAATTTCCACTAGGTAAGCCTTTAAAACTTAGATCCTTAAATATTGCATCTGGAAATCGTTGTAATATTGATCTTGTGTTGCTACTGAGTACCTCTCTCAAGAGGGTAGTGAACTCATTTTCCACTAGGTAAGCTCCTGGGTTTGTGTTTGTGTTTATGTAAATTTATTCAGATCTGAAAAATATGTGAAAAAGTGATTTTATGCTCCCTTCTCATCCAAATCTCTCCCTCATCTCTAAACCTTTTAAAAAATTACTTGAATCAAAGTTGTAGATCTTTTTTAGATCTACAACTTTAGTGTTTACACTTTTTAAATTTATCAAGAATTGAGAGAGAAATCTGGGATTGAAAGTCAGTATATATTCTTGAAGATAAATTATTTTTGATATTTTAGTCTACTTCTCGCCCATCTCCTCTCTCTCTCTCTCTCTCTCTCTCTCTCTCTCTCTCTCTCTCTCTCTCTCTCTCTCTCTCTCTCTCTCTCTCTCCTCTCTCTCTCTCTCTCTCTCTCTCTCTCTCTCTCTCTCTCTCTCTCTCTCTCTCTCTCTCTCTCTCTCTCTCTCTTATCTATCAACCATTTTAAAAACTGCTTGAATCAAAGTTGTAGATCTTTTTGAGGTCTACAACTTTGGTGTTTAAATTTTTCCATTTTGTTGAGAATCGAGCGAGAAAAGTGGACACGAAGATGGACAAGAAATCACGTTTTTACATGGATGCTTGGCACATTTTTTTGGTCTTTGCATGGCATGATTCCCAATACGCCCAATCATTGGGAATCGGATAATTGGATGATGATGGTTTTTGTGGGGCCCCTGCGCTGAAATGTTGACTAGAAATATTATTTCATTCTTTTCTTTTCTATTATTTTAACAATTCTTCCCTTTGGTTTCTTAATTTTATTTAAAATATTTCTAATCATCCAAAAAATCTTTAAAAAAATCATGAGTGAATTTTAAAATGTCTATTTTTTATTATGATTTTTATTTATTTATTTTCAACATTTTTGCCATATTAATTAAATAAAATGATTATAAGTGTTTTTAATTGTTTTATTTTACATAGTTTTGTTATAAAATTAATTCTGACTTTTTTAGTGTTATAGCCCATTTTTAGTGTTTCAAGTATCCAACACCTTTAGTCCAAAACAATTCAATGAATAAAATTGATTCATCATAAACTTCCTTGATGTCAAGAACAGATAATAAAAAAAGCATACAAGGAAACTATTATAGGCAAGAATAAAATCGTGAGAATTAAAAGCGGTTTCAAAATCAGGGTTGACCTAAGCCAATTACCACTAACAAGATTTAGTTAGAGCAGAATTCATAACTAACTTTCACTAACTGCTAATAGAAACCTCACTGGTAGTTATTAACAGAACTAATAGAATTTTTCATCCCTCTAATTGTCATAATAGAAATATCCCAACCATCTATATTCTCCAACTGATTTTAATCTAATGGCCAAAGAATGCATAAGTTCTATCAAATATTTGAGAGCTACATAACAGAATTCCAACAGAAATTAGGGGGGGATTCATTTCATGATTCATTCATAAAATAATAACAGAAAATTTTAACACGGACTTGAGAAACTCTCTCTCTGCAATCACTCTCTATTCTTCAAAAAAGAATCTTCATCATCAAAGGTTTTTCATCGTTGCAGAAGAATCATCATCAATCTTGCAACTTCAAATTCCTTTCCATATTTCTCCGTGTTTCCTATGGAATATTCAACGCACCATCAATCTTCGTCATCTGCTTTAACCTTCATGCTTCATTATTCATCTATATCTTTTGCACGCTACTACAGTTTCTTCATTGCTGCAACTTCACAGCAACATTGACATCATGAAACGCAAGCATTCGAAAAGTAGAAAGAAGCATAAGAATATATTGCAAGGAAACTAAGAATCATAGATTTTTTTATCTGAACTACACTTCGGCATCTTTGATTTTATGTCCTTTTCTCTGTCGTTCCAAGTTTCATCAGACGATCTTCGATTGGTAAGCCTGAAATCTCCTTTTTTCTTATGTTCGTGCTTGATTCTTTTTAACTACAATGTTAATTGAGCTTCAATAAGCACAAATGTGTAATCGCTGAATTGTTTCACATCATAAATGCATTTCGAATGTAAGTTGTTGTTACCCTCCCCTACTTCCAATTTCTATTGAGTTTCCCGAGTTTTGAATCACAACCACCATGTGATGAGGATTGAGACAGAGACCCATATGGTTGTACTCAGACGGAACTCGAGCTTGATGTTGAAACAGAAACGTAGATGATGATGGCGAGTCAAGGGCGATTTGAGGAAGAGTCGTCGTGAGATGGATGATATTGGAGGATGGAGAGATTTAAGGACAAATCAGATAAGGAGGTTTGGGGTTGAATCGGCGAGGTTTCAATGAAGATGAGTAGGCGATAATGTTGATAAGTTTGCACAATTATTATTCCTGATATTGAAGAATTATTTTGGCTCCCTTTAGTGTGTGTGGTTTCTTTTTCCCCAATGAAGTCATCATGACATTCCCCGTTAAAGTCTCGACGATGTGGTCTTCATCTTCCCTAGTAAGGTCAGTATTTGAATCTTTAGATGAAGTCTAGACAATGAGGTGTTGTCTTCCCCAGTCAAAGTTTGTATGACATTCCCCGGTGAAGCCTGGAGGAGTTTATTATATCCCCGCGACTTTATTTGTTTATGTCAGGTGGGTCTTTGATTGTTTTCGAGCCATGTTCTTCCCAGTGAAGTTAAGCCTTGAAGTAGGACTTTGTTTACTTATTGGGTGCTTACTCTCTTATGGAATCTTCATTTGGGATGTGATTTAACCGAATGTTATATTTATCCAAGTTGGTTTTGTTTGGTTATTCCCAATACAGTATGGTTGTTTTGTCAACATATACATGATAGCATTCATACATTCATACACATCATTCATAGCTGAATTTAAAATTCATTTCTCATTTTCATTCGTTGATATTTTTGTTGGAATATTATTCTCTTTGCAGAGTTATCTTATCCTCTCTCCAATAGATTGTCAACCTTAAGCAAAAAGTGTATATCCTTTCAATTTTCACTGAGTTATCCCTCGTGGAATAATTTTGCTTTAGCCTTACTACCCAATTCATTATCTGGATGGAATGTGATCCCCAATTGAGTTTATTCCTCATTGGGTGGTGTCTTGGTTAATTGTTACACTCTGGTCTATTCCTTATTTGAATTTTTGGTTTCGACAGTAATATTATTTTGATCCTCTCTAAATTGTGAGCCTTGGATTGAGAATGTGCATTTATTTTTTATCACAAAGACTATAAGTGTTTGTTGGAAGCAATTTTGGTAAAAGAATGACTTGTTAATGTTTTGCTAAATGTCTTAAAATTTGGAGAAAAACTATTTTGAAGGATGTCAAAGGAGATGTCTTGACATCTTCCTACTGAACTGATCTCACCCCAACATCAGTTAAGTCTTTTTGTTTCTTGTTTTCATGCGTGCCATAATTCTGGATTTGTGACCTACATGCTGTGAAAAATATGGAGGAATATTTTTCAAATTGCATAATCGTTATTTTAGCTTGTTTTTATGGAAATATTTAAAAGATTTGAATATTTGATTTTAAGCCCAAGCTCACAGCTGCACATATATAAGGACATTCTTCCTTATTTAAAGACAAGAAACTTTTGATGAAGAATACTTTCTTTCTGATTATAAGTCTAGGATTTTTATTTGTAATACACTCTAAGTATTAGTTTAAATACTTGATTTTTTATTTGGGTTGTTAATTGTGTATCATTCATAAGCTTTTAAGCATTGAATGACTGAAGTGTTTCAAACTTATTAATTCTGTTAAGTTCTTCACTGTAAGTGATTGAAGGGATTTAAGGATGGCCTCATACCTAGGTGAGTCTTAGGTAGAAGTTTAGCTTGGGTAGTGATTAAGTGATTAGATCGTAAACTGGATGTTTACTGAGGGTCTATGAATTGATATTATTTTATCAACTTGTCTCTGGCTTGGTAGCCCCCATAGTAGGTGTTATTATACACTAAACTGGGTGAACAATCTCTTGTGTTTTTACTGCTTTTGATTTTACTGCACCTTACTTACAAACAGATATTTGTGTCGTGACATCTCATTCGACATCACATATCTGATACTAGAATTTCAATTGGTATCCGAGCAGGAATCCTGCTCTTTATCTGGGTGAGATCTAGGGAAAATACTTTCTGGTACTATGGACAAGGAAGGAGGTTTTGTGAACAGACCAGCCATTATGGATGGAAGAAATTATGACTACTGGAAACCATGTATGGTTGCCTTTTTAAAGTCCTTAGAAAGCCTGGCTTGGAAATCTATTTTAAGAGGATGGAAACACCCTGTCAAATTGGGAGAAAATGGAGAACCTACTTTTGAATTAAAACCTGAAGAAGATTGGTCTAAGGAAGAAGATGAAATTTCTCTTATAAATTCTAAAGGCTTGAATGCTATATTCAATGGAATTGACAAGAACATTTTCAGGTTAGTGAATACATGTGAAGTTGCTAAGGATGCATGGGGATTCTTCAATCTACTCATGAAGGCACATCCAAAGTAAAGATGTCAAGACTTCAATTACTCACCACAAAATTTTAGAATTTGAGGATGAAAGATGATGAAAGTATAAATGACTTCCATATGAACATCCTTGAAATTTCTAATGCCTCCAATGCTTTAGAAGAAAAAATACATGAAGAAAAATTGGTGAGAAAGATGCTCAGGTCTCTTCCCAAGATATTTGATATGAAAGTAACTGCTATAGAAGAAGCCCAAGACATTTAAAAAATAAAGTGGAAGAACTTGTTGGATCCCTTCTAACATTTACACAAGGAATCGGTCGCTGCATTTACACAAGGAAAATCGGTTCTCAAAACTGCCCCAAACGGCATCACAAAATAGGGCCCTACATCAAATAGAAAAAAAAGATTCAATCATAAGTCGGTCCCTGCAAAAACTAGTTCAAATATCCAACACCTTGAGTCCAAAACAGTTCAATGAATAAAATTGATTCATTATAATCTGCCTTAATTTTTAGAACAAATAACAAAAAAAGCCATACAAGGAAACTATTAAAAGCAAGACTAAAATCGTGAGAATGAAAATCTGTTTCAAAGACAGGGTTGACCTAAGCCAATCTCCCCTAACAAGATTCAGTTACAGCAGAATTCATAACTAACTTTCAACTAACTGCTAATAGAAACCTCACTGGAAGTTATTAACAAAACTAATAGAATTTTTCAGCCCTCTAATTGTCATAACAAAAATATCCCAGCCATCTATTTTCTCTAATTGATTTTATTCAATTTTCTCTATTTTCTCTAACAGATTTTTGAGAGCTATGTAACAAAACTCCTACAGAAATTGGGGGGGAGGATTCATTTTCACGATTTATTCATAAAAGAATAATAGAAAATTTCAACAATGACCTGAGAACTCTCTCTCTGCAATCAATTTCTATTCTTCAAAAAAGCATCTTAATCATCTTAGGTTCTTCATCGCTGTAGAAGAATCATCATCAATCTTGCAACTTTAAACTCCTTTCCACATTTCTCTGCATTTCCTCTAGAATCATCAATGCACCATCAATCTTCCTCATAGGTTTCAACCTTCATGCTTCATTATTTATCTGTATCTTTTGCACGCTACAACAGTTTCTTCATCGCTGCAACTTCACAGCAACCATGACATCAAGAAACACGAGCGTTCGAAAAGCAGAAATAATCATAAGAAGATATCTCAAGGAAACGAAAGAATAAATTTTTTTACCTGAACTACACTTTGGTATCTCTGCTTTTTTGTCCTTTTCGCCATCGTCAAAGTCGCATTGGACGATCTCTGATCGGTAAGCTTGGAATCTCCTATTTTCCTTATGTTTGTGCTTGATTCTTTTTCACTATGATGCTAATTGATTTGTTGTAAGCACAACTGCATAATTGTTGAATCGTTTCACATCATAAAGCCATTTCGAATGTAAGTTGTTGTTACCCTCCCATGCTTCCGATTTCTTTTGAGTTTCCTGAGTTTTGAATCACAACCGCCAAGTGACGAGGATTGAGATGGAGATTCATGAAGTTGTACTCGGATGAAACTCGAGCTCTATATTGAATCGGAAACAAAGATGATGATGGTGAGTCAAGGGAGATTTGAGGCAGAGCTGTCGCGAGATGGATGATGTTGAAGGACAGAGAGATTTGAGGACGAATCAGATAAGAAGGTTTGAGGTTGAATCGGTGAAGTTTCATGGAAGATGAGAAGAGAGCGTGTTTTGAGAAAGATGATATGTCGCAACCTCAATTGAACCTTATCCCCAATTATCAAAACACATCGTCTCATTTTTTTTATTCTCCATTTTTGTTATTTTATAATATTATAATAAAAGCTGGGAATAAAAAATATAAACGGCGAAGAAAAATTAAGTTGAGAATTTGGTGTTGATATGTGGAATTGGATCAAGGCCTGAACTGAAACACTTCTTCCTAAGGCCTAGTATCATTTTTTTTATGATTTGGTTTCTTGTGGAAAAGAAACTCTTCATGGACTTACTTGGCTGGACCGAAACCCCTTAAGCCTGTATAATTTTTGTTGGTAACCTGATGCTGGATTAAAAAAATTCTCCTGGACTCCTGAGATGGGCCCTAGCGCCTGGCTTTCCAACAGACCCCCCTGATTTTGATTTTACCCCCTGACCCTCTCTATTTTTTTATTTTTTTTTAATTTTTCTGTTTTTCAATTTTCTTTTAATTTTCTTTAAAGAAAAATAGTAATAGAGTATATCACCAAAAAAAACGACAAAAAATATTAGAACATAATAGAATTTTCCCTAGATTTTCTAATTTTAGAATTTTTGTTAGAATTTTCTATTATGGTTTATGTTTAAATAATCACTTTCTTGCAAATACTTCATGTTTCACCTTCACTTGTCGAGGTTTTAGTCTTATGCAGGTTCATTGTATGACATGAGGACATGCTTGAGTTTCCGATTGTGATTTATTTTCACACCGGTATTGCTTCGACACTTATTTTGAGCATTCGATCTCTGACTATTTGTTTGTTGATGCCAGCTCGTACGAAGTATTTTGGATTTCTTTGCTTTGGTTGCGCTTTTTGCGGACATTATTGTTCGTTTGGTTTTATGTTGCTTCCAATTTATATTTCAGTACTTTACTGCTTTCTAGATATCACGAGAAGTAGGAAAATAAAGAGCGTGTGCTCGAAGTTGCTGTTTAAATTCCTGTAGCAGATACCACTTTTTGTATGTTATTTGTGTTTGTTTAAAATTCTATCTTTGAAGTACGTATTTAGCATGTGTGCTTACTTTTATGCTCGAATCTATTCCCCCATCACTTATTAAAGTCCTCAAGAGGAGGCGAGTGAAAAGGGTTCACAATCAACACCCGAATTTTATCTATGTCATCCTTAACTCGTGACGCACCATGATGCTTCAGAGTTGTGCTTACTCTTGTTATCGAGTCGTCAAGTGGAAATGTGTTTTGCAACCAACCCGCCATACTTTGTCAGGAGGTTGCATTGGCCGATGTAGACACTCTGTGATTATTCATATTGCCTTTTGTCACCTACCTCGATCTTCTATATCTTGGTTAGGTGTTCAATCGCTTTGGGCTTCACATTTTTGTTTTACATCATATTCCCGCTTGTTTGCTTTGGGTGATCCACTCCCCTTAGCTAAAGCATTTCTCTTCTTTTATATTTCACTCCTGCTTGTTTGTCTTGGGTAATCCGCTCCCCTTGACTAAAGCATTTCGCTTCTTTTCTTTACCATTTCATGTGTGTGCTCTTTGGAGTTTGTTTGCTTACTCGCTTTCTATACCATGTTCCCTCAGGATGTGCTTGTTCCTTTCGGATGCAAGTTAGACCTTAGGTTGCGAACCATACATGCTAACATAGGATAGAGATTTCCCTTTCCATCCTTGACATAGGGCCATTATTGTATGATAACACTAGGTTAGAGATAAGTTAGTCTCCCTTAGATGTTTTCTTCCCATTTTGCATAATTTCATTTAAAACTAAAACTTATTTTTCTTGGAAAATCTATAAAAGCTGCTAAACATACAAAAATCCTTTTCATGGTAAAAAACATCAACCAATCCATTTCTTTTCTCCATTCTACTTTTCTATTCTAAGAACGTGTTTATTCCTTTCCACTACAGTGCGTGAGTCTCCAATGGTCGAACATCGGTGGAATGATTGAATTTAACACTGTTCGTTTAAAAAATACAAACAAATAGAAATTTGTGAGTCGAACTACGACTCTTTGACTCCTTAAAAGGGATAAGTAGGCATCTGGTCACGGGGCTCAGCCGAGCGAAAATTTGTAAATGTTTCCTTCTTTTCCCCGTGGTTTCTTTGCATGCATTCCCTCTTAGCATTTTTTTCTTTTAGCTCTTAAGCAGTAGATTTGACACAACATTTGATTAGAACAACAAGAGTGAATCCCGTAGAGTAGTACAGAAGTGAGGGGTGCTAATACCTTCCCCCACGTAATCGACTCCCGTGCCTAATCTCTCGGTCGCAAGACCTTGACTTCTCCCTTTAAGTTTTTCTTCGATAATTTTCCTTTCCCTTTATGTGGGATAAATAAATACTCGGTGGCGACTTCATTAATTTTACCGCTACATTTAGGAACTATAAAAAATCACAAAAAAATATTATAATATTCCTCTGAGTTTTCCTGAATTTTCTATAGTCTTAGACCTCATTTATTTTAGGTTTTGTTTTGGTTATCAAAAATCAAGTAATTTACTTGTTTTTGAAGTTTTATTGCTTCTTTTTAAAGTTTCAATATAATTCACTAATTTCCATTGATCTCAAAATTGCAAAAAAAACATGTTCAAGCTTATTTAAGATGTTGGGACCGTGTTTCTCATTTTTGTTGATTTTTAACTCTGATTTTTGTATTTTATAAAAATTTATCTTGTTTAATGTTCATTTAAGCTTAGTTTTGAGCAAGTATTGATCTTTCATTTTAATTCTGACATTTCCATGAACTTTTAAATTGAGCAAGGATTGGTTTTTGACTTTTAAGAGACTTGAGCTCAGTTTTTAATTTTGTTTGGATTTTATGCCTTATTCTTCTATTTTTCATGGAATATTGTAGTGAACATGTCCCTTTGGCCCAGTGTAATTGAGTCAAGCTTCATTTTTAAAATTATGGACATAATTTAAGGCCAATTTTTGGGTATGTTATGATAATTTGGGTGCTTTGATGATATGTCAACTTGTTTTCATTTATTGAAAATTATATGTTGATCATTTGGTTTTTACCTTAAGCATAAAGTTTGTGTAGTTTGCAAAACCCTAATTTGAATGGATTTGATCTTTAAATCATATTCTTGTACAATTTTTTATTGTAATTGATTCATAGAAGTATGATAAGCTCAAGGATAGTCTTCTAAAGGCTTGATAGGAATTTTACCTTAATTGATCATGTTGATACTTCACTTTGAATGTGATTCATTTTATGCTTCTTTTGCTTGTATTGTGAGATACATGATATGCATTTATGCAATCTTCGGGAATGTGATTCTCATTTCTTTACTTAATTCTCATGATATGATTAGGGTCTTAAGTTCAACTTGGTTGAACCATTTAAGCTTCTGAACTTGTATTGTATTTGTTTGCTTTTGATGCTTTTGTTTCATCATCCATGTGATCATCGTTTAGGTACTTGCCTTATGCATGCCAATTCAATACCAATGACCCTCTTTTATTTTTGTTTTACTTCTGACCTATCAAGGTCTTAAACACTTTCATGCATAGCTCCTTTGATTCTTTGATTGTCCTTTCATTGTCAACTCATCATGATGACAATTGGGAGCCATATCTTTGTTTTAACCTAGTTTGTTTGTGATGATGTTTTGAATTATATAAAGGACCAATGTCCAACATATTTGTGCTTAAGTATTGATCTTAACCTCTCTTCTTATCTCATTTCTCATGCTTCTTTGATCCTTGGTTAAGTACTTATTTACTAACTAACACGGTGATACATATGAAGCTCTACTCTCTTTTGTACTTATGTTTTGAGCATCATTGTCTAATGATTGCCTCATGATATTTTATGCCATGTCCCATGAATTTATCTTGATGTTGGATACAGCCCATAACATCTAATAAAATTTACTATTGATTTATTTAAATCATAATTATTTTATGCATCAAGGGACTATATTTTGCCAAATATCATGACACTTAATTATGTTATCTTGTTGACATTTCTTGAGTCTTTAAGTTCATTATTTATATCTTGTGAGGGTTTCATCATAACCCTATGATATACAAGATGTAATTGCACTCTTACTTGAGCTTTATCAATCTCATTTGATTTAAGACAAGTATTATCCATCATTAGATGATTTTGTTCATCAACTAGGTGACTTTTCTTGTGTAAGAAATTTCATTTTCATACTTGGTTACTCTTGAGTCTCATCTTGAGTTAAATTACTATACAAGTCACACATTTCATAATTCTTTAATTATGGTCTCTCTTCTTTTGATATTTACTTGTTAAATTGAACATTTTTTGCTTGCCTCCTTTGACCACTTCCTTTGTGTGATATGTATGCTTTCTTTTCCCCATGATTGGGATGTTTTGTCATCCATACTTGATGTTATGTCATAATTACATGATGTTTTACCATACATGCTTGACGTTGTGTCATCATTACTTGATTTTATGCCATCCATACTTGATGTTGTGTCATCATTACTTGATGTGTTGCCATCCATGCTTGGTGTTTTGTCATCCATACATGATGTTTTGTCATCTCTTACATGATGTTTTGTCATCTTTTACATGATGTTTTGTCATCTCTTATATGATGTTTTGTCATCTCTTACATGATTTTTTGTCATCCATACTTTATTTTTTATCATCCATACTTGATGTTTTGTCATCTTAATACATGCATGCTTAATGTTTTATCATCTTTATGTGATGTTTTATCATCTCTCCTCTATCTCTGCTTGCCTTTTTCTAAGTAGGTTTGTAGGTAGCTTATCTAAGTACCTTATGGCTTAAGTAAGTTTCTACTTCTCATGTGTGATGAGTAATTTCCTAATTATCATCTCTTATATCTTTTCTATCCTACTTTGATCCTTGATATCATTGTTAGATGTTGATGTTTTATCATCTTTTATATCTTTTCCATCCTACTTTGATTCTTGATATCGTTGTTAGGTGTTGATGTTTTATCATCTTTTATATCTTTTCCATCCTACTTTG